ATTCACTCACTCACTCACCTCCACATCATCTCACTCTTTGACTACTCGCTCACTCATTCATTCACTCATCTTCACTTCATTTCACTCATTCACTTACTCACCTCCACATCATCTCACTCAATCACGACTCGCTCACTCATTCACTCACTCATCTTCATTCTATTTCACTCATTCACTCACTCATTTTCCTTTCATTTTACTCATTAACTCACTCACCTCCTCATCATCTCACTCACTCCAGATTTGGCGAGAGTTCTAAATACGGAATCTGACGTATACCTTATAGATGGCTTGAAGGGAAGCATATCCTGCCGAGTGGATTCTAACCCAATGCACACCAACATCCTCTGGTACAAGAACGGTGAAATTTTAGATGTCACCCTACATGATGATGATGATGACGGCGGAGATGGTGATGATAATGATGGTGGAAGGTGGAGAGAGAGTGATAGAAAAAAGGAGAGAGTAAGTTTCGGTTTCGTTTTTTTTTCTAGTTTTTTTCCCCCCCCAAAACGTTTTTACGACCAGAACACAAATGAGATCATCTTCATCATTGTTGTCATCATCCTTGAGTAACATTGTGATGATGTGATGATGGTATAGCATATGACAATGATGATGATGATAATATGATGAAGAAGATGACGACGAAGGCGATTGCAGATAATTATAGACAGATTAAAAAATATTCTTTCTAAAAAATATTTTCGTAGAATTTAAATAAGTAATTATTAAAATAGAAATAGGCAAAGAAGACGATAGCTCAGAAAAATTAAAAAAAAATACTGGCGAAAATTTCACAGAAATGTCAAAATATACAAGCAACACCTACATTAGGAGAAGGTCACTGGATCACAAATTATCTAATTTAAAAATTAACACGTGTTCATGTCAGTCAGAGCTAAAAAAATTGTAGCATAAGAAACACATATACATCCACATCCACACACACACACACACGCACGCACGTGCACACACACGCGCATGCACACGGCAAAACACACACACACACATGCACAGATAAGAAAAACCAACAACAGCGTCAGTTTGACCTTTGACCCGGCCTTGAAATCTGACCGGGGCACCTACCACTGCCTTCCCTACTCGCCGATTGGTGCTGGCCACTCGTCCATCGCCATGCGCGTCCGCGTGACAGGTTTTGATGATGATGATGGTGGTTATGATGATGGTGATGATGATAGTGATGACGATGATAAAGAGGATGATGATGGTGGTTATGATGATGGTGATGATGATAGTGATGACGATGATAAAGAGGATGATGATGGTGGTTATAATAATGATGATGGTGATGACGATGATGATGAAGGTGATGATGATAATGATGACGATGATGATGGTGATGATGAAAACAAAGAGGATGAAATGATGATAGTGGTTGTAGATGATGATGAAAGTAAAAAATGAATAACTAACAATTAGACCGGAAAATGATTCATTCAAAGGCATGAATAAAAGATGTATTAACCGGTAAATAAAAAAAAATTTTTAAAATAGAAAAAATTATGAAAAACCGCAAACCAACTTCAAAGTCTGAAACTTTAAATTAGGCGCTAAATAATTCATAACCTACTTTTCTAGAAGTTCAATGAATGTATTATATTTATTTATTTCTTTCCTCAAAGACATTTTATATAAATATAAATAAATATATATATATATATATATATATATATATATATATATATATATATATATATATATATGCAGTTTCTAAATCACGGGAAAAAAGAACTACAAAATTTTGTCTCAACTTTTAAGATTAAAAAAAAAATTATTGCCAAGCTGTGGTGAATTACTCTCACCCCCACACACACACACGCACACACACACATTGTATCAGAGTAAATGAATTAAGAGAGAGATAAAGAGAGATAAAGAGAGAAATAAAGAGAGAGATTAAGAGAGATAGAGAGATAAAGAGAGATAGAGAGAGAGAGAGAGAGAGAAACCGAATTTTTTACCAAAATATTTTTTCCAAATTCCTTCAATTCCAGATGCTCCCTACTTTGTAAGAAGGCCTGAAGTTTACAACTTACAGCGTTTGAACGACCGTGTAATCATCCAGTGCTCCGTTTGGTCTGCCATCCCGACTCGTGTTGCTATTTATAGAGTGGGTTTTTTTTTGGATGATGATGATGATGGTGATGTGGTGATGCCGTGATGATGGAGTGGTGATAATGGTGATGATGATGGTGGTGTGGAGATGATGATGATGATGTGGTGACGATGATGACGATGGGGTGGTGATGATAATGATGGAGTAATGATGCTGGTGGTGTGATGATGATGATGAGGAGGATGTTGATGGTACGATAAGAACGATGGTGATGTTGTGACGATGGTGATGATCATAATGATGATGATGATCATTATATAGAAGTGTTCAATGTCCGCGTTTGAAATGCCTCGGGCTAGCTTTTTTTTATCTGGAAGGTGGTTAAAATGGT